ATGGTTACGAGATCGGTTAAATCGACCAAACCCATACAGAGATTCCTTAATGAAAATAACATAAAATATAAAGTTCTTTTTCTTAAGAAACATTTGATCACTATGTGGACATTATAAAGATTTCACATGTGAAATTTCAAAAATTTCTGATGCACAAAAGTATTTTTAATCTTAACATGAAAATTACTTTGCATGTCGGATAGGTATCATGCAAAAAGAAAAAAAACGCTCGAGAAAAACATTGCTTTACAAACCTGAAGGCTTAATAAAAAAAGAAAAACGACATTTTGAGTATGAAAGCATTGTAATGTTTACTGATAATCTGCCAAATTTTGTTAACATATGCATACTAATTTAAAAGTTATATCATGAAAACTATAACAAACACAAAATGGTTAAGAGGTCGGTCCCAGGGACAGAGCCCATGCTGAGAGAGCTAACACATGAAGATTAATAACAGTCACCATTCTGCAAACTACCACTTACCATAAAGCAAATGTTGTCTGAAGACTATCTAATACTTGTTCTGCTGTCATTCGTTGTTTAGGGTTCAAAATCAGAAGTTTTCTAATAATAAGAGCAGTATTTTCTGAAACATGTCCATCACTGTAACATGAGAGAATGGTATACAATTAATATTTTAATGTGGGCTAAACTAAACTGAATTTTAAATGATTGTTTAAATTGCAATTCTTATCCAAATCAAGCTAAGTACAAAATGATTTTACAATTAAGTTTTGTTAATTTATATAAACTTTTCAAATATAAAGTAACGTGGGTGGTTGGAAAATGGTTATATGATGAGTCAATAAATGGGTATTTTACAAAAGAGACAAACCCATAATACTTTTACCAGAGGCCAATCACTATGTGATTGTAGAAGGATTCTTGATTTTATAACCTTAACCTTAGTTTAAAAGTAGATTTAACTATCTCAACTTAAAGTTTTGAATATTTTAATACAATGAAAACACAAATAAGCTACATCTATAATAATATTGCCAAGATTTCTAAGTTGCTAAAAATACAATTAAACCTAGTTCTTATGACACAACAGCTAGGATATGATGTTCAGTTATGTACAGCTTAACAATTTTGTGTGAAAACAAACATATACACAAGACTGACTGATTGTTCTTAAGCGCAAAGCTACACAAAGAACTATCTGTGCTCTGCCTGCCATGGGTATCAAAACCCAATTTTTGCCATTATAAGCCCTCAGTCTTAACAATGAACCACCAAGATTCAACATACACGAGAAAGTGTGAAAGAAAACTACATAATATATGACAAGAAAAATTATTCACACAGTGAAATAAACAAGCCAAACAAACTAGAAAAGCCCTCCACATACAGTTACAGTCTTTACAATGACAAAAAACAGTGAGCAGTTAAAGCAAGGTCACTTCCTACTTAGATAAATCATCCCAGTGAAAGTTATTATAATCAACTAGTTATTGATTTAGCTATTAACTTTAATTTAAGGCAGTGTTTCTCAACCTTTTTGTTTGCTCAAGACACCCCTACACAACCTACAATTTCTATGGCATCCCTAATATTTTATACCCTAGCTAATAGTGATGTAGCCAGAGAGGGAGTCATAGAGATACCCCCGCCCCTACCCAATAAGTCCTGGGTGGAATGATATTTGGAAACCTTCATTTTTTCTTTTAGTACACAAAAACATTTGAAATATGTGATGTAGAAATGTATTTGTTTTGTTTTACAATATTTTGCTAAAATCTCACAGTACCCTAGAGGAAATACATGGCACTCCAGTTGAGAAACACCGGTTTAAGGAAATGAAAAAATTAATAGTTAGACATAAGCTCACAGGTTTATTTCTGGATGTTTTAGCTTTTCTAAAATTTGATTGTTTTGTTTTGTTTTTATTTCGCGCAAATCTACATGAGGGTTATCTGCATTAGCAGTGTAAGACTAGAGGGAAGGCAGCTAGTCATCACCACCCACAGCCAACTCTTGGGCTGCTCTTTTACCAATGAATTGTGGGATCGACCAGCACATTATAACGCCCCCACAGCTGAAAAGGCTAGCATGTTTGGTGTGATGGGGATTCGAACCCGCAACCCTCAGATTGCAAGTCGAGCACCCTAACCACCTGGCCATGTCGGGCCATTTTCTAAAGTTACAGACAAAACTAATAGTTAAACACCAAATTACTAAATAGGTGTGTTAGCTATATTTTTGGTACTTTTTGTTTAAAAATTACAAAATTATGCCATTGGATAAATCACCAGGCCCATTGAATAACAAGTAACTGTTTATTAATTTTGGTACATTGACTATTAGTGTAGTAACTCTGTTTTAGTAGGTTACAAATTCTCTTTGGTGTATGAATACACTAAAATGATTAAGAGATAACTCCACCTAAACCTATTCACCTCTATCATTCCTGGTATTCATACTCATAAAGAAATAATACACACACAAAAAAAAAAACATTTGAAATAACAAGTTTTTCAGAATTTTACATGTATTCTTTATTCATATTACAGTTTAACATTACCACTAGATTGACACACAATGTACATTCACAAAAAAAGAAAAACAACAGCCACGTAGTCAGAAAGTCTTCCTATCTCCTTCAATCCATATTTGCTGTTCATATATGTAAAAAATCATTTTTCATAAAACAATTTCTTCTTATCTCTTGAAACCAGATGTTTATAACATGTACATCTAAAAAAAGGAATTTTCCACCAATGACTTAAGGCACTTACCTTGGTATTGCATATTCAGCTGCCTTAATCTTCCGGAAAAGTTCTTGTGGAACAGAATCATAAAAAGGAAACTGACCATAAAGCATAGTAAAGAGAACAACTCCTAATGCCCACATATCACTTGGCTTTCCCAGGTAAGGTTTCCCTGTGTCAGAAATAAAATAACTGTAAGTAAAAATTACACCTACCTAAAACTTCTTGAATGTATATAGAGGTTGAGTATGTTATATTAAAACTAATCTGAACACGTAAATTGGCAAGTTAATGATAACCACAGCTGATATAAAGTTGTGGTGGAAGGGCATGCATCAGAACTATATTTTGATGATTGTTTGGTATTTTTTAGGTATTCTGATGCCAGTAAAAATTCATCACTTTTGGAAAAAATATATAACAGCCTTTTCCAAAATTAAATGTCCATACACCCAGATCACAAAGATGTGTTTAGATCTGGGACTTAGAATTTTCAAAATGAGTTTATCTCTTGTATTTAATGGCAATGGAAGACAAAGAAATATGGCTCATACTGGGGAACCAGGACTATTCAAAAAGACACTTGCAGTAAGTCATATCCCAGCCATAGTAAGTAAAATGTGCCATTCAGTAACAGTTGAGAATCCACAAACACAAATATTAAGTGGCAAAAGATGTTGATGTGCACCAGGCAACAGTATACAACATAATAAAGAAGGAAACAAGGTCAACAGGGTATACATTCATCTAAATAACACTTCTAGTCATACCTCCCATTCAACTTTTGCATTTATAAAGCAGCTGGTGAATGAAGAGGGCCATATAGTCAACTTACCAGATGCAGCACCAGATTTGTGTGTCATCATACTATTGAAAAAACCACAAGGAAATTGTGAATGGATTATGGTAAACATACAGGAAAGGGTGGTGTGCTTTGGACGATGACAGGTTTATAATGGAACCGTTTTGCAATGAAAACTATTCTGCAGGACTATTGTCAAGATGCACGATCATAAGATACAACATGATCATGCGTTGCAATACAGGCTGTAATAAAGTGATGAGGCTACAAAAATTGTTTTGATATAATATACCCAACCCTCTGATGTAGTCTTTATGTAGTCCACCCCGTAAAAACTAACCTGCTACAAGTAACTGCAACAACACCTTCCGTTGGCGAGGTGTTGTTGTGGCCCTATGTTCCACTGGGAGTTTACAGGAATAAAAAAAAACAAAAAAAACAGTATACAAGGTTGGTCAATTTGACTGACTTTGTGACTAAAACAAAATACTGAGTAAAAAAAATCATCATATTTTGTTCTAGAATGGCTTTAAACTGTAAAATGAAGCTACATTTGTTTACCTTAAATAGTTTTAAACTTGTAATAGTATACATCTGTTTATACTTGAATTTTATAATTTTTATTGCTCTTTGAACTGAGTCTAACTAATATTTCCACCAATAAATTTGTAAATCACTTGGCAAATGTGAGCTCATGTTACCCTATCGAATTACATAATACACAGGCTACTCACAAGTTGTTCATGAAAATTCTAACCTAAAAAGTTTCTAATTTTTATATTTAGTTACTTTTGTTTGTTTGTTTATTATGTATTTCGCTCAAAGCTACACAAGGGCTATCTGTGCTAGCCATCCCTAATTTAGCAGTGTAAGACTAGAGGGAAGGCAGCTAGTCATCACCACCCACTGCCAACTCTAGGGCTACTCTTTTACCAACGAACAGTGTGATTAACCCTCTCATTATAATACCCTTAATGGCTGAAAGGGCGAGCATGTTTGGTGGGATGGGGATTCGAACCCACAACCCAAAGATTGGGAGTCAAGTGCCCTAACCACCTGGCCATGCCGGGCCAAAGAACATGGAATAGTAACATGCAAAAAGCAGACAATACTTACCCAAGTATTATTTTCTTTTTCTTTTTTTGCTGTCGTCTATTGATGACACTTAACCCAACTTTTTTTTGTACTAGTGGTACTAATGCACTAAATAATTTTTCATTTAATTAAATAATGCACCAAAGTACACAAAATAACAACATGCAAAGAGACAATGATCTATAACAATCACAGTTTTTCTGGCTTTCTAACTGTGCAACAAGAACCATTAAAAATTCAGCTGAGCTCATCAATATGTTTCCTGTGGAAATAAAGTTGGAACTGGAAGCAAAATAGACAATTCCCTGTGCAGAAAATAATATAATATAATATTTCATTTGATATATTAAAAACCTTGACTTTTTATTGGTTATAAATAATACAGTATTAAATGTCAGAGAGTTTCTGGCAGTTTCTGAAAAAGAATATGACAGGTGAGCATAGCAAGAGGAGCAATGACAACATTATAATGAGTAATTTACATTACATTTTCTACTTTTTGGAAAGGCGGTAAATAAATTAGAGAAGAGAGGATGCTTAGAGAGCAAATGTCACAAATTTCATACTAGGAGAAATTCAGGATTTTTTTAATATTGCTTTATATAAATTAAGAACTTAAAACTTTTATAATGTTAAAATTTGGATTATTAGCTATGTTTTTATGACAAGTTTATTTATATACTATGACAAGAAAGTAGCTTAATTAAATTTTAAATATAACTCAAAAAACCTCATGACATGCACAGAAAAGGATGCTCATAGTGAGAGGGTTAATGAAAAAGCTTTTAAAATTCTTCTTTCCCATTTTTTTATATTTTAGTTGTCTCCAAACTATACATTACAGAAGCAGCATGTACCTAAATACTTTCGTTTTTGGATAAAAATACTTAGTAAACATACTGGAAGTAAACAGGTTGTTGCAAATAGTTGTGTAACTATTAAATATGTAAATCAAAACGTACCACTCAGAACATCAGGACTGATGTAAGCAGGACTTCCCCGTTGATCTTTAAGGAGATCATTTTCATTCAAAAGATGTTTCCCCAAACAGAAGTTTGTGATAGTTATTCTTCTAGTACGCTTATTTAGAACCATGTTACCTAACTTCAGATCTCGATGGACAATGTTTCTCTGTAAAATCAAAAATTAACATCAAATGTCTACTCCTGTAGTAAATATAATGTATTAAAAGGAATCCCATAAAATATTTTTTATATACTAATTCCCTAAAGTTTCATTATTCTTGGAATCTTGGAATAGGAACAAAATTAAATATAATTAGAAAAGACATTTACAAAAAAAAAGCATAATAGATATTATAAATGTTTACTGCACAAAGATAAGTCGACAGTCAGTTTATGAAAGATTCTTATGTCAATTGCTTAAGAGCCAACAAAAATTTTGCTAACAATATACAACAATAAACCAACTGAGCCACTAAAATTGTATATCATAAACATTGACAAATAATTTAATAAATATAATTTTCCCAAAATTTTATCAACAAAAGCAACAAAAAAAAATTATCATTTATTTATTCATGCTTTACAGACAATAAAATTATGTTGAAGCACACTTTACACCAGAAGTCTCCAAACTGTGTGTTGCAGCAAGTTGCTAGCGGTATCACAAGAGTTTCATCAAACAAAGAATAATTAAGAACATAAAAAACAACTCTCCAAAAAAAATATTGCAAGTGGCAACAGGAGTGTAACACAAATCAAGGTAAGTGGGTTAGGGTGTTATCAGTAAAAAAAGTTTGGAAACTACTGCCTTAGACCATTCCTTTTTAACCTTTAAGACAGGATATTTAGTGAAACTTATATTTTGATAGATGGTAAGAACTATATAATTTTGCTACCAATTTCTACTTTAGAAGCAAAAAAAATTAAATATGTTTCATGTATCATATTTGAAACTTTCGAGACAAAATGTAAAGAGCTCTCACTTTCAAAGGCTGTGTAACCTACTTGATGTAACGAGGCCACCACACGAACAACGTCATGAAAAATAAACACGGCTTCTTTCTCTGATAGCTTTTTTTCCTTTATGACATAATGTTGGAGGTTAACAAAATCTGCTGTCTGCATGCTGAATGTGTGCGCGCACAAACAATCCAGGACCAGACAGAGGCGTTTCTTGGTATGGCCCGTGTACACCAGCTCTCCAGTATGGAGTTCTTTTTCTTCCCATGCTTCATCCTGTTGTTGAAAAATACATCCTTAACTATTTGACATTTTCAGATTATCGACAGAAAAAGAAAAAATCAAGAACTTCTTTGTTCATTTGTTAGCTCACGGAGACAAATAGTATGAGAGGAGAAAGGTATCAAACTCGGGGTTTACAGTACTCTAGAAAGTTGTAATAATGTTTTCTTTTGCTATCTTTATATATATATATATATCAATTGTAGGATAACAATTAACAAATATTACTTAATCATTACGAAACAAAGTAAAACTGGTTTGCCCATTTTTGGACTAACAAAGACAAAAGTGCAATGATCATTACACAGAGAGCTGACTGCACTTTGTAAGGACAATCTGCATCAAGGAATACAATGTCATCACTTCAAATGTGAGCTTTGGCCACAGGTGACACATTTAACATCTGTATGTTTGAGTAATAGCAAATTTTGGTCATTCAACAGCACACTCTCACCACATGCAAATTTATGGCTGGAGGCACATGTCACGGCCCTTTCCAAAGAAGGATTGTTTGGCATTTTATGGTGCAAAGCAATAAGGCTATCTGCACCAAATAACCAGTAAAAATTCCAAAGTAAAAGATTATGAAATGTAAAAATAAATCAAGTTAAAAAACCAAACAAAGCTCAAAAATGAGATAAAAACACTTAAATAGAATTAAAAATGCTTATAACAGGCAAAAAGCTAAAAACATGATCAAGTTGGACAGTGTCACCATCACCTATGACACCGTCCAACTTCAGGAGTAAACACGTAGAAAGCACATGTCAAAAATGGTGCCACCACTCACATTCGTAACAATAGCATTCACAATAAAACATGGGCTATTGTGACTTGAGTGTCACAAAGGCTACACATTGGTGGGTCAGTACCAGATAAAAGAAAATGATGAGTTAAAAAACTGTGACCAATGCGTAGACTAGCCAAAACAACTTCCTCCTTCCCATCCTTACAGAGACAAGACAGCCAAGAGAGCAACAGTAGGTTTAATCTGTAAAAGCTTGTTATGACGTTGTTCACCCCAAGCCGACTGCCAACTGCCATGAAGTCGAGCCTTGGATAGAGGACTGTAATCCATATATGGGACAGGCACAGCCGTGGCAGCACCAGAGCAGACGGACTTAGCTGAGGTGTCAGTGATCTCATTCCCACAAATACCGATGTGGCCAGGTATCCAGAAAAACTGGATAGAGAAAAATGGGTCAGTAATTTTTGAATATAGATAAGAACAGGGTGAGAACTAATGTGAAGTGATTCCAGGGCCAGTAGAGAGCTAAGACAGTTGGTGTAAATAGTACAATCTGTGTATTGCATAGCTTTTACGTGATCCAAGACAAGAGAAATAGCATACAACTCGGCAGTGAACACAGAAACTGTAGAGGGGATCCTGTGAGTAACCACTGAGCCACAACAAACCATGGCAGAGCCCACAGAATCACCTGATTTTGAACCATCCATATAAATGGGAATAGAAAAATGGTTCGAAAGGGGTTTGGCAAAGAGAAGACAGTATTTACAATTGGGAGAATCTGCTTTCGCCAGATGACTCAAAGAAAGGTCATATTTGGGGATGGTAATAAGCCATGGTGGAATGGGCTGATCACTAAGGACAGCAACGTCATCCAATGCCAGACCCAACTCAGCCAGTTGCGACTGGGTACGAAAGCCAAAAGAAGGAATTGCAGACCATCTATTCTGAAAGAGCACAGCCCACCAAGGAAGAAAGACACATCCCCAGGTGGGATGATGTGGTAAGGATCGATCCAAGGAAGGAATGTTGAATGACGTAGAGCTGAAGAACACAACATCACATGTAAGTGATCCTTCAATGTTCTCCAGGGAAACAGGGTATTAGAATAGCAACCAAAGGTCCATTTCCACAAAATAAAGGCTATGGTACAAAATTCCTCTGTGGTGAAGATTAGCATATCTTCTGGTACTGTTAAGATGATAATAAACAAGAATATAAAGCTGATAATGGTTCATAAGCATTTAGTCACATTTCAAAATCAACGACCACTTACACAACAAAGATGGCTACGAAACTGGAATCAAAGACTCCTATTCACTTCCAATGAACTTTTGCAATGATCTGTATAAATGTGGTTTCAGAGTAAAGTCCACATACATTTGAGACTTTGTATAATGTCTGTCAACATGTGTAATCTAAGATTGACCTAATCATCCTTCACATGTTTGTTGCAATTGTGTACATATTGCCAGACTAGTCATTGCTCATCCATTTTAAATGCTGAAGAATAAAACTTGATAACAATCTCACTAATTCATATATAATAACTAAAATAGGAATAAAAAAAAAGTCAGTATACTTTGTCATTTTCTGTTAATACCACTTCAATGTAATGAATAAAAGAGAAAAAAATTAATCACATCCCCGATGTAGTTTCCCCAATTAATACAATATCCGAGAAAGAAAAAAACGACTATATATTTAGAGGAAGTGAGCTACATGGCACTATCTTCTTGTCACACACTTTCAAGTTTACATTAACAAAAAAAAAACCTGAAGTTCCACCACATCAATTCTCCACCATAAGGAATTGCCCTCAGTTTCTCTTTTTTTCTGTTACCATTCTGATAGTGAATAATAGGTTTATGTTTGATACAACTCTTGACATTGTATACCTGTAGTCTGGGTTCAGCTACTTCTCTTATTTAAGTTGCTCAATAAGTTATTCATTTGATATGCGACTACTTAGTCACCTAAGCCTCCCATTATACTACATTCAGTCAAAGACAGAAAATAAAAATAGACAAAAAAACAAGTAATAACTGTACTTAACTCACACAGATGGTGTACTAAAACAGCCTTTGTCAGACTGCTATGTTGTACCAAGAATATCCATATTTACACTTATATAAAAAGATAACATTTGGTCGATTTCACAACAGAAAACAACAATAATTACAAGTGGAATGGTACATGAAAAAATTAACATTTTCATGCCACTTTCACTAGCAATTACCCTCTAATCAATATTCAAAATATACGTAAACAAAGAATCATTCAGAGCTTAAATGATTAACTGCTTGCATATCAAGTTTATTTAACATGTGAAACGAATCTCTAGCCAAATTTAAATAATTACAAGTTACCATTTAGTTAACCATATTTAAAAGACAGATTTGAACAGTAGTTAAACAGCAGCATCACCATACGTTTACCTAGGAAAATATACAGTATCTGTATGTCGTCCTTCTGTAGTTTATTTTGTAGTCATCTCATAATATTTTTTTAAATAGTTACATCTGCACTAAATATAAACTGATAATTAAAAATTATTTTTTTCCCAATTCTAAAAAAGAAATAAAAATCTCTTTAACATTAAAATTCACACTATACATTTAAATGCTTTAGTTGTTGTTGTTTTTTTATAAAAAACTAAAATATGCTGGAACTTTCTTACCTTGTAATATTTTTTTAATTCCTTAACCAAACATAATAATGAAAAAGAAATACTCTTTGGATTGATAATTAATCCAGAAAGTAGTGGTAAAATTTGTGTTGTAGATCATGCTAGACCGTACAAGGCCTTACCTTAAAAAGTCCATGATGATGTATTACACCTTTCTGGTCCAGAAGGAGGGACAGAAGTGAGTATTCAGTATGTAGCAGCATCTTCCCTTGACGATCATCTTGGGTTTCTTCCTGAGGATCTTGTAATGTAAGAATCTACAAAAAAAGAAGTTGATAATCAACTTAAGCATAAACAAAGACTATACAGATAAATACAGAAGAAATTACATTACACCAAATGAGAAAAATATTTTTTTTAATATAATAATATAGTCAGCAGTAAATCAAAGTGATGTTAGTAGTAACAATGAAATTAAATCTTTGAAAAATAATGATTTAAAAACGTTGTTATGGACTGACTCAAAATTAGTAGCACATGAAAATTGCTTTAAATCCTTGACATTCTGGGATATGATTCCATGTGGTTTCATCAGTCAGAAATGGTGATAAAATTGCAGAATTTCAAACAAGTTAGTAAAATAAGTTATATGGTAAATTAAAATGTCTATGAAGGACTGTATACCCTTAGCAACTTCTGGATGGTATGTTTAATTGTTTACCCACAGTTTTAACTTATAAGAATTTGAAACAGAATCTGAATGTTTATTTAGTACATTACATGGTACTTAAGCATATCAATCACCAGTGAGTTAATTATAAACAAGATTACGACACTTATGATATACAACATTGTTTATTGAAAAAAAAAGTACTTTGAAAATGTATAAAGACTGATGTAAATTCATTTTATTCTGCTTTAGATACTGAAGATGGAATC